ATAGTAAATTTATATAGTAATCTGAGTTACTTTTTACTATAATCATTCTCTGGTTGACTGGTGGATCACCAATTAAGTTTTAATTTTTTTAAATTATATAAAAATTACAAAATTTTAGTTTGAAACTTCAAGCAAATTTTTATTTATTTTTTATTTTATTTAGTTGTAAAATTTAATTTTAAACTAATATAGTTAAACCTCTTTACAGTTATGCTTTTGGTTTTAAAAAATTCTGTATTTATAAAAAATTGTATCTATATAAAGATCAAATTTTTATGTTTTATATAAATTTGTTCTAAAAATTAGTGTGCTTATAAAAAGGGTGTGACTGTATAAAGAGTGACTATATAGAAGATAAACCATATATAGATTAAAAAGTATTACAGCTTTAAAATTTATAGTATATATTTTTATAAATTTATATATTGTATATAATTTTATTGAAAAAGTATAACAAAATCGTGAAACTAAAAATAAATTTATAAAATATACTAATAAAATTTGTATTTTTTTATTACTGTATATATACTATTAAGAGTAAATATTTTATTAAGTATATATTTATCTTAATAAAAAATAAAGCTATAAAATTGCTAATTAATAAAAATTATCTTTAATTTTATAATAAGCTAAATTAGTAAGTTTTTTTGCTAAATAAATAATTGGCTAAAATAAATATAAGATATTGTAAATTTTACTATTATCAACAGAAAATAAATTTAAACAGATCGGCGGCAAAGATATCTAGTAGACAAAGATAAAACTGCATCTAAATTTATGTGTATTAATATTTTAAAAACTGATCAGAATATTAGTGCAACTGACTGTACAATATACTGATATAAACAAATAAGAATTTTTTTTTTAATTATTTGTAATGGTTGGAACATCAAACGCGATAAATACGGTCCACACGTGATCAAACACGAACATTATAGGATTTTCAGCCAACACATTGACCGTGATCCTCTACTATATCTTAATAAACGTACTTCACGCATTTCTGTCATTCAGCGTTAAACAGGAAACAATTTTTTAATAAAATTTCTTTTCACAATATAAACAATCTATTGGGCAAAATTTATTAAGAAAAATGTCAGCACATTCTTACCATATTCCCGTAAATAAAATTTCTTCTCAAACACGAAAGACTGAGCCCGTAACTACAATGGTCTCGACAACACCAACCAGCGTCGCGATTAAACCAATGCACCCATTACCACCAACTACGATAGCACACCTTGATAGTATCTTTGAAGCAGTTAAGAGACAGGTACCATACGCTGTTTTATAAATAAAATATACAACTCGCATAGGACGACGAAAATGGTTTAGCTTCCATCCTCTTCAAAATTGAAAGGGAGCCATAAACGCTTAGTTCATTCGCAATAATTGTTCAGTTTTTGGTATTAAGAATCTATCTCAATATTGAGTGAATAAGAAAAAGTTTTTATTTAATATTCGAGATTACTATGTCCAGGAACTGTACTATTTTCTTAGCAAAGATGTAAATCATACTATATTACGGGCATTAATTAAAATATATAATGATTAAAGAAAAAGTGTTATTACTCGATATTAATATGTCTATCAAATTACAATCACCGCATTGAAATTTTATTTATGTATTCTTTTGTTATTTCTTATAGGTTTCCATATGGGGAGAAAACGCGAGATGGAAAATTGATCTAGTTTTATTACCTGATGAAGAAACTGAATCTCAAAATCAAACTATTGAAGGTTAGTGTAACAAACGTTATGTTGACTTTAAAGTAAATGTGCTGATAATTTTTTCTTAAATAACACATTAGATATGATAAACCCAACTAGTTCAACTGCAGGACATCATTCTCCCATCAGTGAAAATGCAACATCATCTTCAAGGGCTATTTATGATTCAAGTAGTATGCTACAGTCAAATTCTAGAACAGAGGTATGGATAGTCTCAGTACTTTTTATACTTAGTGTATAATATTTGAGCCATAAGGTAACTAACAAATGAATATTTAGGATGACATTTTATCTGAAAGTAATCCTCATCAAAGTTTTTCTATATTAGATGATGATAGTGTGGATAAACTAGATATTGAGGCGGCAAAACGCATGGTCAGAAATCATTTAACAAATCTATATCTGCACTGTAGAGTTTTTATACTTATGAGTTTATTATTTAGTTGCGAGAGGTTATGGTTCATATTCGAGAGTATGAATCAATACTGGAACGATCAACACGGGAATTTGGATTAAAAGTTGAGTCTCATCAATGTGGACTTGATTGTTCCCGTTTTAATGAGACAATTTTTTAACATATAGTCTGATTGTAGTTAAAAGAAGCTAACAACAGATTAAAAAAAGCAAATGAACATATTGAAGGGATGATAAAGTATCATACTATGAGAGTAAGCGAGATTTCAGGATTACACATTCTTTAATTTCTTTTCTCTGTTGATTTATTGATATTTATACCTTATTAAAAGAAATTCTATTGTTCAACTCAAACAAATTTGGGTATTATTTGTTCTGCAGGAAAAAGAAAAGAGCAGTAAGCATGCCGTAGAAATTCAGTTACTACAAGAAGATCTTAGAATACTTAGCAGAAAACTTAAAGAATCAAATGCACAATTGGTAGAATCACGTGCAAAGCAAGCTAGTTTGCAACAAGAACAGGAAGCTTGTAGAGAGGTTTGTATTGTTATTGCTTTATTTACTATTTATATTTTGTTTCTAAAAGATTTTGCAACGTTCCATTAGTCATACCGAGTCGAACAACGTTCCGGACAGAAAGAAAGAAGGAGTTCGAGAAGAAAAGTATGTAATGAAATAATTGATATTTCTCATTAATGTAAAACAATGATATTTATATTTTGGCCAATGTATAAAACAATATATATTATAACTTATGTACTAAAAATTATCCACATACATTTATGATTTTAGAATCCATCTTCACATAATCAACCAAAGCAGGAAAGGGTAGGCCAGATAGTTGAATACGTTCCTCAGCAACAAACAAACGGATATTTAACGTATAATTTTCCCTATGTTCGAAAAATACCTCAGACAACTCAAATGAACCAAGTAAGTAGATTTATTTATTATATTTTGAGAGTAATCTTTCAAAGATTCACCATAATTATGACTTAAATAGTAATTTTCGTGATAAAATGAATTGTTATTTAAACATTTTATCATCAAAAGTTCATGAATCTCATTATTATTATTATTATTAAAGCAATTAGCCATTCATAACCAGATTCAATCAACAAATCAGCAGATTCTTCCTTCGTTATATTCAACACAATCTGTCCGTAATCCTTCCTTTACTGCTTCTCAAAATCAGCAAGATCTAAACGGATCGGTCTTTTCCCACTATTCTATATCACAGAATGACCATGATCGAGTGGCGTATTCCGCTTATTCTTTCCGGCAATCTGCTGCTAATTTAATGCCAACCGCGTATCCAATGCAATTAGACAGTCATGTAATGAACAGGTCTACAGAAATGACATCATACTCCTCCATTCAAGCAAATATTCCAGCAGGTTCTACACCTTATTCTGCAATGCGGCCAAATGATCATACAGGATTGGACAATCTCTCTCTGGCTGCAGAACTAATATTATCATCAGCAGTCTCATCAAATGCTTCAAAGGATCAGCATAACGGTCAGAATATCCATTCTTTATCTAACTCACGCGCTTTGACTAATACCCGTGAAGGTATATCCCAAATAACGGAGCAATCACAACCGGATACTTCAATGAGCATGGGAATAAATACTTCACAGAAAGATTCAGATGCCATCAACTCTCCAATCATAAATTGTAAAAGCGAAGAGCCTGTAAGTGGTCATACATATTTAATGCATGATCCCGAAGTTAATGGAACACCTTCTCCCTTAAGAAGTTACATGTCAACATCGGAATCAATAAAAATAACTAAAATAGACCCAGAATGCGATGGCGCTCTGAATGAACAAGATGAATCAATGCGATCATCACCACCATTAACGGAGAGGAGTCATGAAGATGAACCTACAGTAAATGGTGCTGATATTGAAGGAAACTGTGATTTGATGGATACAGATGAAAATATCCACGAAGGTGAAAGTGAGGAAAAGGCGAATAACAATGACGTTACCTCCTCTCATGAAGAGTCTGATGATACACCAAATCCTTCATCCAAAAGACCGACTTCTCTAAAAAGAGTAGCACCGGTTCAAATATTTTAACGTACATTCGCGTTAAAATAATAAAATCATTAAGTATGGTTGAGTTTTTTGGCAGCTAATTTTGTTGTTCAATATTGATTTATTTTCAGTTTTATCAAAAAAGCTTTAGATTGAACTTTGAATCAAAAAATTTTAATATATAGTATATATACAGTAAATATTTGTTGTATAAAAGAAAAAAAAAATATCTTATTAATACAATAATTAACTGTTACAAGCAAAGTTAGAAATGAAATGTTAAATGTAAAATTTTATTAACTATTGCATTTAAAAAAAATTGTAAAAATATAACAAATCTAAAATTTGACTAACAATACAAATATATACAGTATTTTGTTGGTATAAAGTTTATTTATAGTATATTGGCTCGCAATTCGATAGAATTTTTATATTAATAAAATTTGGGCCAATTAATTATTATTTTTTTTGTTTTGTAAAATTTATTTCATCATATGTAATTACATTTTTATTTAGGCCAAACTAAGATTTAAATTTATAAGAAAAAAATCTCCATATAAGCACAACCTCTTTATAAGCACATTTTTAAAAAAATTTACTATGTGTGATTGTATGGGAGGACAACTGTGGTAGTAACCTAATTTAATAAATAATAAAATATTATATAAATATTTAAATCTTCGTATCAAATAATTTTTTTAATTATATAATCTAAAAAAATAGTATTAATTTATTAATAATTTTATACAAATTCGAAAAAGTACTTTTTTTTTTTTTTTTTTTTAAGCAATCCTGTCTTTATTTATCATGAGCTATGATGTGAATTTAATACTCTCAAGTATATATTTTTTACTGTATTTTGCTCCAGTCTAATAAAAACTCACCAAGCAAGAACTGTCCAATGTGACCTGCTATAACAACTATTAGTCTACTTAGGGATTCCAAACTTTCTTGAAATTTCGGTATGACGAGATACCCTCCCAAAATCATGGACAGGTTGTTGTATACCATGTCAGAATCCTTTCCTCTTTTATAAACTTTTCCCACCTAGATCTGGCAAAAAGTTTGACCTTTATTTCTGTACAAGATAAAAAACCAAAAACCATATTTACAAAAGAATGAAACAAATTTAGAGAAAGAAAACAAAAAAAACAAAAAAAAAAACAAAAAGAAAGGAAAAAAGGAAAACTCTAAATGCTATTCAATTATAAAGGGAAGAAGATGGAAAAAGCAACAAAAAAGAAAAAAAAATCTCAACACACACTATTATAACCTGTGCCAGGTAAAAATAAAAATTATATACCAGACTAGTTGTAAACCTGTGCAATAATACACAGGAATAAACTTATAAAATTTTTATTAAATATAATTTTAAAATAAAATAAATATATAGTAATTATTAAACTATAAACCCATGCAATATACAGGAAAAATTTAATATAAAATAAAATAAAAATTTAAATCTAATTTAAATAATTTTATCTTTAATATAGATTATAATTTGGTTTTATTTAATTTTAATTTAATTTATTAAGTTAAAAATTTATTGTTTTTTAAATATTTTAGAACCTAGCAATTAGAATTAAATAAAAGAGGTGTGGCAACTTAGTGTAGTGGTCTAGTCATCACCTTCTCCAAGTAGCAGGCCTGGAGTTCAAATCCCACAGATAACGAATTTTGAAAAATAGGCCTGTGTTTATGGTTGATAGCTATGCTTATCAGTTGGATCTAGATAAATCTGTAACTTCAGTTATACCATCTAGTTATGGGAGCTTTGGCGCAATAAATCTAAGGAACCGGCACAACCAAAAACCCATTTGGGAAGTCCTGAGTTGGAGGTAACAGTAATCTTTGATGGTACTACAGGAGAGCTGAATTTGAACCGGGGTTCGAGATCGAAAAACTGAACAACCAGATCTGCTAGCAGAGGACATACCAGCCAAACCACAGGGTTGTCACACCAGAGGAAAAGAGCATACACTCTAAAAGTATGAACCAAGGAAAAGGTATCTCAAAGGCACCTAAAGCCTGAGCAGACCAACCTTTCTGGGTTGCTGGCTAGAAGTAAGGATAGAGAATCCAGATAAGGAGACGGTTCCAAATATAGGTACCGAGGTTATTGTAAACCAATTAGAGCAGGGGATATGTGAGGTAACACCCTAGTACTAACCTAGGTTTAAAGACATAATATCTCTGAATCCTAATCTGGAAACATGTAGGACATAGAAGGAATTAGGAGGCATCTACTACGTCTGTTCTTGAGTAATACCAATGATTAATTTTAACAGATTGCCTACTAAAAGGTTAAGTCAGTGGGAGAATGTCGACCTGAGTGATCCCTATTTAGATATTAACTAGGTAGGTTGTAGCACAAGGTTATGGTGAACAACTTAGAATAGGATAGTGTAGGACTGGGGTGTCAGAGGGTTTAAATAGATAATCTCCTAGTTGGGTTATAGGTACGGCAGCTAGTGTAGAACCTCAGGTGGACTACTTAAATAGACACTCAAAAGGTACACGTGTGGCTAGTTGTACTTTTACATGCTAAAAATATACTACTATACATAAATATTTCTAATATTACTATAGTAACAATATTTACACCTAATAAAAGTCGGCCATAGTAGCATTTGGCAATATAAAAAAAAAAAAAAAAAAAAAAATTAAATAAACTCTTTTTTATTAGATATGCCTCACTAAGAGCTTTTATTTTAAAAAAAATTTATCCAGATTGGACTACTAGTTATCAAGATAATTATAAAAAACTACTTTTTGTATATTTTGATCTCAAAGTAGGTTACATTGAATCTAAAGTAGATTCAATTATAGTTTCTTTAAGTTTATGTGAGAAGTTATTAAGTAAAAATATCTTCAAGCTCTAAGTAAAGTTGTAAAGAGGATAATTCTGAGTCAAATGGTAGTTAGATAATCAAAATCGGGCCAGTAGTTATTGAGATATGTGGGATTAAAGATCTAAACATAAGGATTAACAAAATCAATACTTTGTATAATAGTGACTTTGCTGATCTTTATGTTCACGCCTTTAACCCAAGATATCTCAAGAATCACTGGGCCGATTTTGATGATCTAATCACCATTTGATTTAGAATTATCTTCTCTACAACTTTATTTAAATCTTGAAGATATCTTTACTTAATAACTTCTTGTATAAATTTAAAGAATTTATTGACAAATCAGTTAACAGATTTAATATTATACAATTTAAGTGAATTATTTATATTAGTAATCTAAATGTTATCATTACATGCATATTTTTTTAGTATATAGTTATAGATACAACATCTGTATATCTCAATTGTAAGACTAAGCCTTAACATATAATTTCTCTTTGGTTCAATGTTCGGCCATGGCTGTAAACCTAAGCCGTATTTTATATCAGATATATGCTATCGACATCTCCAGCCCCACTTAGGAATTTCTTTTTACCGGAACCCATTTCAGTACTCGAATGGTGTATCCATTTCTGTATACGTGTTGCCATCTACCAGTCTGACCGAATTTGAAAAGTAAACAATGCCGATCTTTTGTAAAGGGTAAGCCAAATCTCCACTTTTTATAAAAAAAATTTAAAAAACTGACAAGGAAGTGAGAAAAGAGAGAAGGGACCACTTGGCCAATAAAAGAGTATAAGGCTTCTTTAAAACAGTTGTCTGCTGTTCTCCAGGTAAGTCAGGTGCATATATAACTTCGTTATCAGAAGTAAAAGACCTCTTCCATTAGAATTTTTTGCACAAGGGCATACTCTTCTACTAGTTATCTTGTACAAAAATGCTTCCAACTTGCATGATAAAGATATAGAGGAGTCCCCAAGCCAAAGCAGAGAGAAGACCAATTTGGTTAACCTCTATAAAAACCATTAATATGTATCTACTTTAGCTTCAGCAAACTTCTATTTTTTTTCTATTGGGAGGGTTGGTTTAAATGATCATTGGAAAGAGTTTTGGAAAAAGTACTTTTTAAATAGATTTGTTTAATATAATTTATAAATTAATTTTATAGTTTTATATACTTAACAAAATAAAAAAATTAGTTTTACCTTTAAATATTAAAAGAAAAAAAATTTTAATTTTTATATTTAAATTTTAATATATATATTTTTTTTTGATGATTATACCACATGCCCTGCTTTTATTGATTATATATAGCAATCCAAAGGATTTTTATATTATATTTTATTACTGGAATGTGACTCACCTGGTTATCTATATAGAGTACCTAAGTATTCATGCACCTGTATGTGACCTGCCAAAGATGATTTTAATCTCCTCGGTTTGGTTCAACCTACATTAAGCCGACCCGCTCTGGTTCACCAACCTGGTTCATCAGCCCGTCATAATCACCTTCTTTTCCAACCTTCTTCTCCTAGCCTCCTAGATAAAAGAATTCTACTGCAAGAACAACAGGAAATAAAAGGAAATACAAAAAAGAGAGGAAATTTAAACTAAACGAAACAAAAAATATACTCAAAAGAAAAAATAGAGAAAAGGAGAAAAAGACTACAAAGAAGATGACTATAACGACACTATTATTGTCTGTGCCAGGCTATAGAAATTATATAATGTTGCATAGAAAAAAAATCTAACCTAACACTATATGTATTAAAAGAAGTGGAAAAGAAAAGAAAAAATATCTAACTATAAGAAATTTCTACACGTAATCTCTCTGATCCCCTATACTGTAAACAGTACTGCTATCATTGTTTATTTGGAAAAGCAGAATCCAAATAAGCTTGTGGGAGGTTCTATTTCGGTAGACATGTCCTAATTTGGAAGAAGTAAACACTGCCGATCTTTTGAAGGGGTATGCCGGTTTTCTCACTTTTTGGCCAAAATTTCTAAAAAAAATCCAAAACCGCAGAAATATAGTGGAAGGTATTTATAGCGAGTACTTTCAAAATTTTTAAAGAGAGTGTTGGAAGTCCAGAACTTTTGTTGTTTCCCCTATGTTCTTCTTTGAAATAACAGCTCTAGTGCTTTGTCGACAAGGTAGAAACCTATTATGAAACTTTCTCCCTCACCAAAATTTTTTATACAAGGACACTGTCTGCCAGTTATCTTGTATAATAATGCTCTTGGCTTGCATACCGAACGTCTTTTTAGAGGAGTTCCCTACAGATAGTTGATCTCTAGACAAACTGCAACATAAGGCCACGTCTCTCCAACAAAGGTTGTGTTTTTTTGTTAGCTGAAATTTTGGTACAAGTGATCATCAGAGAGAGTTGTGTCTTTTTTTTTTTTTTAATAATAGCTACTTTATTAACCTTTAGTAGTTAAGTGTCTTTTTTTGTCAAGATGTACGAGGTTTTATTAGTACAGAAATTTCTAGAAACTATACTCTCACTAATTTTGTAACAAAGCTTTACTTGGCTGCTTTAAGATGCACAAGTGTAACCATCTAGCCACAGATTTTCCTTCTCTTTGGCCTCTAACTCACTAGGGGATTACTCTTCGGATCAACAGAAGGCCCTCTCCTTTGGCTTCTAACTCACTAGAGAATTATCCTTTAGATTAACAGAAGGCTGTGCTCACCCTTATTTATATATATCTCACTATATATACTACTGTATAATGTCTACTAGTTATAATTCACCTCTTATTACTTATCACATTACTTCTAATTCATATCTTGTATAACTTCCAAATTGGTGTTCTAGAAGTGAGCACTCTTCTTGCTTTCAGTTTGGTGTCTCTTGAAATGTTATTTCAGATTATAATTCATATCTCAAGCCAGGTGCTGCTGCTGACCAAAAACCCGTATCTCAAACCATCTACTGCTACTATTAGAAGAGCTGTTTACATGATTTCAAGTATTTATATCATATACTACTTAATTAGGCTATCATCTTTTTTTTAGTACTCCCTATTAGTATAGTGATACAGAAGTCTAAATCCTTAGAATAAGAGTTAAGTACTTTATTTAATTGCTACTACAAAGCAGTAACCCAGAATCTGCACTTCTGCTATATTTCATCATAGACTCCCATATAGGTTGTGTGACTATTACTTACTAGCTGTCTTTATATTTGTACTACTAGGGTGCTTGCTTCCATGCTTTTTAGAGTTTTTTTTAACTAGTTTTCCTTGTTTCTTTATTGTGCCAGAGGTGTTCTATATTTGGTAAAGCCATTTTTTTACTACAGCCCCTTATTATGTTCACTGCTTCTCTTACTACTTCTAAATATACTGCATACAGCTATCCTCCCAATCAAGATCTCAATGCCACCTTAGGGTTGTTGGTATTATTTTGCTAATCGTGAATTCACACACACAGCCTTTTGCAGTAATACCTTCCATAACTTATGTTACATATAGTGCCTAATCTTTTCTATGGCTCAGAACTCCTTCCAAGAATTTTTTATCAGCCAAATATATACTTCACATGGTCTTACTATTACAGGGTTCTGTATTCAAAAGCCCTCACAGGTTACAGATATAATTAATTCAATTAATTACCACCAGCTGTAATTAAACTGTCAACCTTGTCTGTAAAGGGTTAGGTGTTTAGACCACTAGGCTACGGAACTCTAACCCTTTAAATTTTAATATTTATAATATATATTTTTTTTTTATTTTTATTTTTTTTTATTTATTTATTTTTTTATTTATTTATTTTTTTTTGTATATTAAATTTTTTTTATTTTGAATACTTAGTAAGCTGCAAAGTAATATTGAATTTAATACAAGATATAGAAGAACAAGAAGTTGAGCTGACTTTGAAAGAAATACAAGAAATACAAGACTGGTAGAAAAAAAAGAAGAGATTTTGGTTATAATGAAAAAAAAAAGTACAGCTATAAAAGAAAAAAATGAATTAGAGGTTTGATTACAAAAGAAGACTTCAATGAAATCCAGCAAGCTTCAACTCCAACAAACAAGCAAGAAACTTCAGAGTGAGGCTCTAAAAAAGATAGATAAAAAGAATCTACAAAGAGATATAGGTTGCAAGATACAAACTAGTACAAAGAGTAAGAGAAGAAGAATAGTATAATATGGAAAGAAAAAAGATTTAATGCAAATACCAAAGGAAAAAAAAAGAAGAGAAAAAAAAAAAAAAGTTAGTGAAAAGAAGGACCCAAGCAACGAGTTTTACAAGGAAAAAAAGAAAAACAATAAAACTGAAGCAAAATGGAAAGTGGTTCTAGAATTGACCAAAAATAAAGTTTTGAGTTAAATAAAAGATAGGTAATGGGTAGAATAGTGGAAGATTTAATCAATAGTCTTGACAGACCATAAGAACTATCTAAGGAGATATTAATAAATCTATTTGCAAAATAAATTAGTATAAAGATAAATTATACTATAGCAGGTAACATATATATTCTCTAAATAACTGAGTGAGTTAATACTTGTAATTTAGATGTTAGGAAGAATAGTTCTTTGAAAA